GTGCCCAGTATGGCTTCAGATTCAACAAGAAATGAGGTTATATCTCCTACAAGCGGCAGCGAGTACGAACCACCACATAGACACATTGTTTCCACACAAAAAGGAAGAATACATAACCCAGGTATAGCGCAGCATCGGGATTGTTGTGACATTAGTCATAAGGTATTATATTTATATAAGCAGAACAATTGACTGAGTTGAACAAGCAAAATAATAACCGCAGGGTGCCCCCCACATTATGAGTCACATCTCATTGCATCAACCAAGTTATAAGAGAAATGCAGAGTTGCAGAAGATGCAGAATTGGAAAGTTCAACAGATGTATGACAATATAGGGTTATACCCCGCAGCTGTGGTGGCTCAACGGCTGGAACGGTACACTGGTGGCTCAGTGACTGGAACAGTACTTAACGCTCGAACAGTACCTGTGCAGCAACCAATCTCCCATTAGTGACGAGGAGCATTGGAACCAAGCAGAACCAAAAAGACACACACGGACATCGCTCCCGTGCGGCTCCTGCTTCATTTGTCTCCACATGACCTCTATGGTGTGGGTTGTGTTGATGCTCGTCTACGGTGAAGTCGGAGTCGTTTGCTCGGGAATTAGGGATGGCGATGACGCCGCTGGAGGAGAAGTGATGACGATGACACGTGTGTGCTAGCTCGATGAGGCCCTCTTCAGAGAGGGGTGTATGGGGTATTCTATGTGTGCCTCTTAGCGGATTGTGACGGTTTTCGCCCGGTTTTCCGTTAATTAACTGGGCAATTCTCTTCTACTTAATTAATGGATGAGGCAAATCTTTTGCCTCCGTTTAAAAAAAAATTAGTGACGAGTGCATGAGCCATAGCTCAAAAAGATCAGAAAAAAATAACTTCACCACTATGAAATAAATGACTTAACCTCTGAAGTCAGATCACTCTAGCATTATTAGGAAAATAGCTGAACAAAATCGTGTTTGAACATCTAATTTGGGTTTAACCCATCCTCACATTGCTTAAGTATGAAATGATCCAAACAATGCCACATTCTTTCCAAGTAATGTCGCATTTTCAGGTTGTTCTGAAATGGCCAATTCCCATGTATGATCAAACATAATAATGAGTTATCTATTTGAACCTTCGGAAGCTGCTAACAATACTCTCAAACATTTGAAGTACTGCAAGTAGCAGCAGTATCATCCTCACAGCCTTGTCTTTTTCGTAAAAAGAATCACCTTGACATCCACGCAAAATTCAAAGACCAAGGTACTACCAATCGTTATAATATTCTCT